CCGGGCTAAATCGGGAAGCGAAAGTTGGATCCCTGCTCCTGGGAGCACCTTTGCGGGCCCCGGCGCCCCGCCTGCTTCCTCGCGGGCCGCGCCTCTCGGGGGCTTCCCGGTCCCTCGAAGCGCCCACTCGGGTTTGGGAGCGCCCAGCCTCCCCGGGCGCTCGGGCCCCATCGGGTGCCGGTTCCCGCGCTCTGCCTCTGGCAGATCCTTGGGGAGCTCGGCCTCTGCTCACCCCGCTGGGGTCCCGGGGTTCCCTGCCCCTGAACCCACGGCGGCTCCTCCTCGCCCCCTGTAGGGCCGCCGGGTCCTGCACCGAGACGGTGCACTGTGTCGCTGCCGGCCCGGAGCTGGGAGTGTGAGAAGCAACGCGCTCAGGGCGCATCCCTCGTGGTCCGCGAGCTCGGGATCCAGGAGAACAGTGGACACCGACCCCTTCTTTCAGGAGCCAGGTGAGCCGGGGCCCCGGGGAGCGTAGATGGCTCGGGAACCCGAGATCCTCGCCACCTCTACCACCCCACCTACCCCCTACCCCCGTGCCCTCGTTAACCAGGCTTTGGGAAACCGGTTGGCCACACAAGTCACAGGAATTGCTTGTTTTTAAGAGTGGAAAGACTCTTAGCGACATAATGCCCCTTGGGATTCCGAAGATGCGCAAAGGGTTTGTTGGAATTACAGAGTGAATTGAATAAGTATACTAGCACGACTTTTGCTCATTGCTGTGATCTTTCATTTTTGTAGTTTGGTGAAGGGTTAAGGTTAGTTTTACCATTGAGCTATTTAGCTTGCAAACACCTTTTTGAAAACCAGTAGATAAACAGGACTTTACTAGAACCAGTAATTTTAGGAATTGGACTCCTAGAACTAATAGAAGAAAGAAGTTTTATTAATTTAATCAAAATGAATCAAAGTTTACCATACTCATCTGCCTCATTAGACCCATTCATTCTCTGTATTAGGATAGTTCAGTGTAAACCATTTAAATCCACTAATATAGATCAAAGGAAGCTGAAATCGGCAAGATCCTATCAATATTTATTGACAATAGGTAATAGACATTTCAAAATAGACATACAGATAAATATATATAGACAAATAGTAGACAATAAATATACAAGTAAAATTATTTATAATGTGTAATGTTAATATCATACAATATAATAAATACATATAGGAACGTAAAGGTATGAACTGTGTATATATATCTCTAATAAGGTGTAGTGCATCAAAATATGTTATAAGATGATCTCAACTTTAAAAAATTTATATTATTATCTCCCTGGTTCTTCGGTCAGTAGATTGTAGTTTTCCTATCATTTCTCTTGGACCAAAAATTGGTACTTTTTGTACTGCAGTGAATTAGTTGGTAATACAAGTATAATCAGGTGAATGTATGTGTGTGGGGGGGGTGTATTAATTAACTTATTATATAAATGTGTATTAGAGGCACAGGCCACTTAATTTGAAGAGGTTTGAGACCTCTAGTCCAGCTGCCTCTGTTCAAGGACTCTGATTCTCAACCTCAGGAAGGGTAGCCATTCTCTCATCTTTACTGCTGAGGTTGGGGAGACTGAAAAGTGATTTCTAACTGTGTTCCTCATTGTTTGTGTCCCTTCCGTATGGTGTTCACCTCTGGCATTCTCTACATAGATGCATATGTCATTGACTCTGCCTCATGGAGAACATAGGGTAGTTAGAAGAACAAATAGGACACAGGGAGTGAGAGCACCTTCTAAGGTACAATAGAAATGGTAGTTGTTGTTAGCTTACGTAATGCTAACACATAAGCTGACATAGACAGTAGTTTATGAGTGAATCACTCTCCCTCCTGCAGAGATTATGAGGTTAATTCTGATTTGATTCCCAATGAAAGCAAACTTTGTGTAGGTAGAGTTACTAAAATAATGATGTCCCCTATCCTAATAGGCTTCTATTTTTATTGATTCCAACATTTGGAAAGTAGTTGAATTTTTGTCATTTCTTTTCTTTTTGCAGAAAATCAATACTAAGTCAACTATTTCTCTTGTACTTATGAGCTATTTCAGAATTATGTGAAGAGATCTTTAAATGACTTGATCATTTCATTCACAATTTGTAAGTTTGTGTGTATGTTCTTTAATCATCTTAAGAGATGTGGAATTCTTATACATTTGTCTAATAACATATTTTCAAAATGCCCAACCTGTACCAATTATTTTCCCACCTAAAACCTTTACTTTAGTATGATGAAACAAAATGAATGGAAAAATATGGTTAATTGCATGACCTTATTTGGAAAGAATACATATTTTAAATTGAAGGTATTTTCAGTTCCCATTTGGAATTCTTTTCTTGAAACAGAATAATTCACCTATTCTGTAAATCTACATAGTTTTTGTCAGGGACCAATTTGTATAATTAATAATAGAAAGACTGTTTAAATATCAGAGATGGAGGACAGGTAATATGGTCAGAAAGTAGTGCCACTTTGTGTAAAATACTTATTCTTTGAAATGTATTCACCACAGATTTTAATATTAAATAGTTAAATGTATATTCATGTCCTACATATAAGTAAAATGGAAGTTTGCTACTTTTCAATTTGTGAGATGCAACCAACTAGGATTTTTATGGGAAAGAAAATAGAGATTTAAATTAGACACTAAAAGATGGAGTAAATGTTATATCTTTCTGTGTATACATAAATGATTATAGTAATGTATTCATTATGTACATATATGATAATGTAGAATGTATATATATATATGCGGACATATATATATATAGATAAATATATCGATGAAATGCATTATCTCACA